GTTAAGTCAGGAGGATAATAAGGCATTAGATCCAATAATAAATGCAACTGAGCAAGTTTCAGCATGGGTCGGAAGTAGTACGGCTGCATTAAGAGCAAAACTTGTCCCCCATTTATTACTTCCGAATAATCGAAAGAGTTATTATACCTACGAAGGATCATTGACTACTCCTAATTGTCAGGAAGTAGTAACATGGTTCATAATGACTGAAGAACTCACAATATCCAAAGATCAGGTAAATGAATATGAATATACGATTAAAGAAGATAATATTGAATAAATAATAAATATGTTTAAATTGAAGTGAAATGTTTTTTGCTCTTTTTTTTTTTCTTTTTTTTTTTCTTTTCTCATTGCAGTTGCGAGTCTTCCAAGGCGTCGAGTCAGCCAATGGAACATTGAAATTCAATTATCGACCGAGTCAAAATGAAGGCGATCGAGAGATTTATCATCATCTTTCAGGATATTCCAATGCCAGAAGAATGTTTTCCATTCATATATATCTTATCATTTTCTGCCTTTCCATTATCAAATTATCATAACTGCCAAATTCAATAATTTTTTGAACGGTAATAATGATCTTGCCAAAGATTACATAAGTATGACATATGTATATATATATATATATACATGTCTATTTTTTTTTTCTTCGATAAAACGCGTTATTTCGTAAGCAAAGTTTCCTTAATCGTTATTATTATTATTATTATTATTATTATTATTATTTTTATTTTTATGCATAATCGCTGATAATATTTATTTAGCAACTTTGTATTTTCTTCGAGGTTTAGGATAAGGAAGTTTTCTTTTCTTTTCTTTTTTTTCTTTTTATACGTAACTAAAGTTATTTTACCAAAGAGAAATTGTGCCATTAGAAAGTGCCAAATAATGGAAATGTGTTTTTTTTTTGTAGTAAAAAAAAAGAATAGTCGAATTGTATATTAGTTAATATTTGAAAACACACTCGACAAAAAATATATTACTTACTAAAGGTGACATGTTATCTTCTCAAATATACATATACATATATATATATATATATATATATATATATATATATAAAAGATAATATTATATATTGTATAAAAATATTCACAATCTATGCTCATAATTATTATCTAATAGAAAACATTTGCCTTTTTTCTTTTCATTTTACAATCGAAAGGAATCGACAATCTACGATGAATTTTTTTTTTTTTTTTTTTTTATATATATATATAATCTCTTATATCAATCACATATCTGGTAATATGTTGTACTATAAAATTAAGTGTCATAACAAACAACGACGTAACTATAAAAGGACTATAAAAAAAAAAAGGAGAAAAAATAAAGTCAATCGATACAATACACTATGCATATCTAATGCGTCAATAAGATTTAAAGTGATAAAGAATTTGCGTAGGAAAAAGTTTCAATATGAAAATTCACACGTAAACAAAATAATGCATTTAAATACAAACCACTATAAAATTAGGGTAGTTGTTGTTGACTCGTCGAAACGTTCTAAAATACATATATATATATATATATATATATATATATATATATATATATAAAACATTGTATGATAATTAATAATTAAAACGAACGTTTCTAATGAAAAATATTGAATCAATTTGTCAATTAATTTCAATGTCAATCAGTATCCTCGGAATATTTTTTACTCTTGGAAGATTTCTTTTTACATTGCGCAGCCTTGTTACTCGAATACTTCCATCTTTTTTCATCGCGATCCTGTTGGCATCCCGTAGCGAAGAACTCTATGCTCGTACCGTGCTCATCCCTTTTATCATTGCTATATAAATTTCTCACGTTCACGCTGTACGTGCAATCTTGTTTAAGATTACGTAAATCGTAATGGGGAGTCTGCGAAATAAAAATATCTTTTTTTTTTTGCGTCTTTTCTTTTTTTTTCTTTTTTTTTTTTTTTTTTTTTTTTTTCCTTAACATTCTCGAGAGATCTTATTAGATATGAAAAGATATCGATCGAACGATCGTCGAGTTATATGGAAGTTTGTAATCTAAGTAGTTAGAGCAAATATATGGTCGGACGATATCTCAGAGACCATTCATTTAATTTTTATTTACTTTAGAGGATAAACATTTTCATCGTTATCACGAGCAGACGATTAACGATAAATAAGATAAGAGAGACCTAAAGATTACCTGAATAGCTTTCCACGATAGTCTCTTTTTCGTATCCACATTGTCCTCGTAAATCGACGTAGTACATGATTCTTCCTTCCAACTGATGTTATACATTTTTGCATCTTGATTAATCGTCCATACCAATCGTACCTTAACGTCACCACAATGACATATCATTCTTCTTACGTGAAGACCTTCCTGATATCTTTCGCACCTGCGAGAACGTCTTCCGACGTCGGCTTCAATTGAAAGTGCACATTTTTTCGATGACATTTATTCGACATTAATTCTTATTTATTGTCGAGTAAAGAAAGATAGATCAAAAAAAAAAAAAGAAAAAACAGAAAAAAAGAAAAAAAAAGAAGGAAGAAGAAGAAGAATAAGAAGAAATAGAAATAAGAAAAAGAAAAAAAAAAAGAAAGAAAGACAAAACAGAAAAAGTAGAGAGAATCCTATCTAATACTTTCCAAAAAAGATTCTTCGAGTTCTTACCAAAGGCCATATAATCCGTTGCGTTGAAAACTTTTGACGCCTTTCGTGAAGCCAAACGTCTTCCACCGTATAACGCGACCGCTTGTACTTGAAGAAAGTATTGACACTTTGGTTCTAAGTTCTTCAACTCGTAACAAGTTTTATCCTAAGACAATAAAGTTTGAAAATTCGTTGATACGAATGTCATGCGAAATTAAAAGAACATGTAACATTTTTTCTCTTGGCATTTTAATTGCATTCTCAATAAAATTCCAAGGGACTTGTTTTCATAAGAAATTAGGACAGACAACGAACGAAACATTTAATATACAATATATCCGATTTAAATGTATTTTACGTAATTATTATTTCCTTTAATGTTAAATAAATCCAAGAAAATTATTTATTATTTATTCAAATAAAAATATTATCTACTGAATTGTTATTCTTTAATAATTAAACGTATCCATTTAGATAATACATTTAAAAACGGACAACGATTTATACTTAACATGTATGTATACGATCGTATTAGAAATTTTGTTAACATGATTATACCTTTAAAACGGTCCTGTGATATACGAGTACAGAATCGTTCGTTGGACTGTGAATGCGTCTGCTCCAGAAAACTTTGTAAAAGGTTATCGGAACGTCCGATGAGGGTTTAAACCATCGAAGATTGATTCTCAACTTTCCACCGACCAAACGTGCCCCTGAAAGGGTCAGGTTCTGTGGTTCTTTAGGATTTCGTGGCTCTGAAAGTAAAAAAAAAAAAAAAAAAAAAAAAAAGAAAAAAAAAATAAAAGAAAAAGAAATAGAAGCTACAGGTTTTAGCTATATGTTCTTTCACCAACTATCGATTTCTGCATAATAAATTTAAAAGGAAATTGTACCTTTCACCTTTCATTAATATATTATACGATGATGATAGTCGGACAAAGTTAAGCCGATTAAAAGGATGAACAGCTTTTCTTCTTCTTTTATTTTCTTCTTTTTCATTTGTCTAATGTCAGATATTATTATCACTTATATATATATATATATTTTTTTTTTTCTTTTTCTTTTCTTTTGCGTTTCAAACAAAAGGGGATATTTCCGATCGACTATTATATGTCCGACGAAAAACACAAAGATATTTATTAATAGTTAGAATCATATGCATATTTCAATAGCGAGACCAAGTATATATACGTATATATATATATATATATATATATATATATATATATATATGTATTCATTTTTATAAATAATAAATTAGAAAGGACCATTGGGATTGTTCTTTCAAAGGGAGATACAGTTGATGCGGAACAACTTCGAAGTACGGATCTGTCTACGTAAATAATTCTATAAATTTCAATCAGTTCTTATCGATGTCGATCAATTTTCAAAACACCAATCGATTAAACGTTTTAGCGAATTTTTTTTCGGGCAATGTTTTACCCATAACTTCAGACGGATCTGAATTATCCTTACTTTCCGAATTATATGCCATTTTTACTTGGATAATAGTATTAATATATACAAGTGGTTGCGTCATTGGAATATTTCGTGTGTCCAAAGAATATGCCTTGAAAGAATCTACAGTGAATTTAATAATCATCCTTGAGATTTTCTTTAATCTTTTTCATATGTACCGCCAAAGGAATCTTTTGAAACGATTGATCGAGAATTACAATTTTTTATTTTCTATCGATAATGATTTATTAAAAACCATTATTGTAACTTACGTTGGACCCGTGGAAAAAATGTTGAAATTTTATACGATTACCGAAGTCTCTACGGTTGTACTTTGGGTCTCAACGGCATTTATAACGTTCTTTCAAAAAGAAGAATTCGTACATGAGGATTACGTTCTACCAATTAGTTTCTCCGAGGAATCTATCTCACGTAATATTTATATCATTAATGTTATCATTGAAATATTCGGATCTTTTTATGTGATTTTGAAAAAGGTCAGTACTGATATATACACTTTGCATTTAATACTATTGTTAACATCGCAATACAAGTATATGAGAATAAAATTCGGGATGATATTTCGAAGAAAAGATAATTCTTTAAAATTGAATTATCTAAGTGATCATGTTATCAAGAAAGAACTTGATTCGTTGTTCCATCATCATTCCGTCGTTGTCCGGTAAGTCGTTTATTCGTTTAAAATTATTTTTTTTTTTTTTTTTTTTTTGAAAATCACACAGACACACGCTAATGCATCGTAGTAAATTTCTTGTTTTCTTTTTTTGTTTTTATCCCTTTTTTCTTTTCAGAGCCACGATCATGCTGAAAGAAATACTCTCGTTCAACGTTTGCGTCATTCATTTGGACAGCGTCTTTCGATTTTGTTTTTTAAGCTTCATGTTTGCCACGGTATTATTTATGACATATTTCTAATGTAATATCGTCATTTAATGTGATTTTATACTTTTAGAACATGAGAATGAACATAGAAGGATTCATAATAATATCGTATAGCATTGCTGCTGTTTTACAATTGTACATGATATGTTTCTATGTACAAGAACTTTTCGAAGCGGTGAGTCGATAAACATAAAGATATATCAATTAATTCAATTTAAATCTCTCGTAATTAAAGGGTACAAAATTGACGGACGACGCTTTTAACGAAGAATGGTATTCCTGCGAATTATCGGTGAAGAAAAATTTCCAAATAATGATACACGCGAATAAGTTGAAGTGCCAGCTATCTCCATGTCAAAGCGTCGACTTGTCCTTACCATCTTTCATGCAGGTAAAAGAAAATCCAAAGTTAATGCAACTTTCATCGCTCGTTTCTAATTAGAATTTTTTTTGTTTTTTCTTTTTGTTTTTTTCTTTGAGATTATGAATCAAGCCTACTCCGTGTGTCTGCTCTTTTTGAAGATGAAATAAAACCGGTTTGAAGGTGGAAGAAATGTTGGGCCCTCCGCAAAAAAATATCTCTCTTTGGGAGAATTTCATTTTGATGAACGTGCACGTGCTATTTCATCGAAACCAATTGTAAATAGGATCGATAAGAAATTAAACGTATCGATGTATCTTTTCCCTCATAGTTGTGAATTTCTTTAAAGTTTAAAAATTGATTTCTATAAAAATAGTCATGAACATTGATAATTACCTTTTGTCTTGAAAGGTCTCGATGGTTGAGAGTAACCCTTCGAGCCGTTTCCATTGATCGCTGCAACACGAAATTGATACCAATGGCCTGTCTTCAATCGACCACGAAGAGTCGCGTGAGGTTTCGTAGAAACATGTCGGACGGTCCATGAACTTAATCTTGATTCTAAATAACGCGGACCAATAAGATGACGTTCCTCCACTAAATATCTGACATCCCCGTTACCGGATACATTTGAATAAACATGACCAATGTTTCGCCAATTCAAATGGATGAGATTACTTTTTTGTTGCCTTATCTGTAGATTTTGCGGGATCGGTGGTAAATCTGAAATTTTAGAAAACTTTTATTAGAGAATTAAAATGATCGCGTTTATATTCATTATGTAAAATATATATTGAGAATATTGATTTACCAGTTCTGTTGTCTAAACCGACGGGATGCATACATGTAACTCCGCAATCGTGCGAACAACACTTTGCCAAATCTGGACAACGTGAATCATTGTCGCAAGCGATCAAACAAACGGCTTCGAAGGGTGACATAAAAGCAGTATCAGGACAGTAACCAGGTTTCGAATAATTCGATGCTAAACAATTTTCTATACACTGAAACAATGTAGAAATATTTCTCTTTTCTAATAACAATGTTGAGATTTTCTTTTCTGCTATTAATATCGATCCTTTATATAGTTTGACGATATTACTCCGAAGAGTAAAAACAACCGCTTGAAAGTTAAATAATGTGTTTTCACTTGAAACGAAAAGAAAAAAGAAGAAGAAATAAAATAAAATAAAATAAAATAAAATAAAATTAAAGATTTGCGGTTAACGTATCCCAGAAGATCGCTCGTACAATTTTTCTTTCCTTTCCTCTTTGATCGTTGCTTGTCTCCGCGTGAAACCGATTTCGAAGTACCAAACGAGCTACCAAACGAGAACTCTCCGTTCGTTGAAACGTATATGATTATCTTAAGAGTTATTTTGTAAATCGATTCAGTTGAAATGAATTTCTTCGTTATCTTACCAAAAAATTATTTTTCGAGTGAAGAAAAGAGAGAGAGAGAGAGAGAGAGAGAGAGAACTAAAGATTCGATCCATTCGCTCGAACCAATCATCATCTTCAATTCTTTCAGTTTCGATTTGGATATAATTAAAAAAAAAAAAAAAAAAGAGAAAACCGTTGTTTACCATTAATTTCACTTTCATAAAGTAAAGATCAAAAAAGTCTTCCTTTTTAAAACTTTCATTTTATCTCTTACCTCTGGTAACATATTTGAACTTCGATAACTGACAAATCCTATGATACCTTGATTAAAATGCATTGAGAAACATGAAACTTCGATTTCTGAATTTACCAAAGTAATTTTTCTCAAATGGATCTCTGATTCTTGGCCGTATCACTGGCAGATGCAAGGACGGTTGAATGTCGGAAAACTAGCTTTTTCCTTTACGATCAATGACTCGGAATGGTTCGACGTAGTCGGTGGGAAAAGATTTATGTTAGAGATATGTAAGTCTTCCTAGGAGGAAGAAATTAGAGAAAGGAAGGAATAAAAGAAGGAAAGGATGAAGGAAGGAAGGAAGGAATAGAAGAGGAAATGAGATATATAGCTTTTCGATTCCTTTTATCCATCTCGTTCTCTCTCTCTCTCTCTCTCTCTCTCTCTCTTTCCCTTTATCTAGATCGGATCCTCGAAGGAAATCCAGAAACGTTTTCAGCGTTAGTAGTTCCGAACACCGAGGGTATTCGCTCGGACTGTCCTGGCTGTCGCAGAAGAGGCATATATCATTCGAACGGTCGAAGAAACTGGTTCGCTTACTTATTGGCCTACTTTTTACGAGCAATGTAGAGAGGCGAACGTGTGCTTGCCTCGGCATCGGTGATCGCCCTACGGGGGGCGTTGACCAGCTAATGAGAGAAGTTTGCTACAAAGATATCAGAAGAGATATCGATTGATCAACATTATTGTTATCGTAAAATTTTATTTTAGTCAAACTTAACCTACTATTCCGATTTTATTCTATTTTCTCTCTTTCTCTTTTTTTTATTCTCTCTCTCTCTCTCTCTCTCTCTCTCTCTCTCTCTTTATTAATCCACTGATTTCTTTTCTATCTAGATTCTCTTCTAAAGTTTCTATTCTTTTTTTTTTTTTTAAATCATCGAAGAGAGGCACAAAATTCCGTCCCATCGATATATATATTTCGGCGCATAGTTGATCGATAAAGGATTTTAAACGTTCATCGAACATCATTCGTTTTCTTCTCAGGCGAGCTATTAGTTGCAGCTAGTTGACTAAAGTCAAGTTTAATCGAGTCGTATCGCCACGCCTCGTCACGTGTCGCTTCGTGACTTGTAACAGGTAATTGTGAAAGTTGCGTAAAGCGCGGAAGCTACTCTTATTTAATGATACCAATGGGAATATTTCGAATCGTATCGTCGGCATAATCTTCTCATCTTTATAGTTCGAAACTTTCCTCGAACTGTTGCCAAGCGAAACGGTGAGCGCAAAATAAAGGACATAATTCAAAAGATTCGAACTCGAAGAGAGAGAGAGAGAGAGAGAGAGAGAGAGAGAGAGAGAGAAACGGACGGGGGACTTCGAAAGAAAATAAATATAAGAAATACACACAGCGAGAATCGAATCGACGAAATCGATTGGAGCAAAAGAGAGAGAGACAGAGAGAGAGAGAGAAAGAGAAAGAATTCAACCATCAGCGAGGTCTCGCATTATGCTCGAAAAGACTGGCACACGATGGTTCATGACCTTCGATTTCTCGACAGGAGAGGAGCGTAAAAAAAGAGGAGAAAGAAACAGGAAAGAAGAAGGAGAAGGTGGTGGTGGTGGTGGTGGTGTTGCTCCTGGTGATGGGATTGGGAAGGCAATGTGGAAGAGAAGAAGATGATGAATAAGAAGAAAACTACAAGGAAGAAAAAGAGAAGAAAGCGCAAAGTTAACGAAGTCGACCGCAAAGGAACGCCGACGAAACGCAGCGATATTGTAAACTGAAATTGTAATCCTCCCGCGATTCGTACTTGAATTAAGCCCAAGAAGGTCCTATCACGACTTTACTCTTCCAACTTCGTTCGAAGACCGGACTTGTTCCTCTCTCCCTTTCTCTCTCTCTCTGACTTTCTTTTCGCCAACTCCGTTCTTTCTTCATCATCTTCTGCATCAATTCAGAATCACGATCGCGTTGAGAAGAAAAGAAGGAAGCTTTTATCACCGTTCCCATTCGTGTTTCGATGACGACCGATCGTGGCGCCATTAACGAGGTAGATCGGCAGAAATCTCAATCTTTGCTTCTCTTCTCTCTTTCTCTCTCTCTCTTTCTCTGTTTCTCTCTTTCTCCATCTCTCTCTCTCTCTCTCTCTCTTTCTCTCTCTCTCTCTCTCTCTCTGTTTCTCTCTCCCTCCCTCTCTCTCTCTCTCTCTCTCTCTTTCTCTCTCTCTCCTTATAAAAGGATTCGTCGCGCGAAGATAGCCTGTAATTTCCAAGAGGGTAAATTAATGAAGTTTGTGTCCGAGAAACTTCTGGACCGCCCTCGTTGGCCCGAAGCAACATTGTTAACGAAATTGTATGGTGATTCATGCCGGGTCAATTTTTTACCTGTCGCGGAAATGAATAACTTTCAAGCGGAGAAGTAACCGTCCTCTTTCTTTTTCTTTCTCTCTACCTCTCTCTCCCTTTTCTTCCTCTCTCTACCTTTTCTCAGGTCAACATGAACTCTCCGATGCAATCAAAGGAAAGAAGATATTAAAGGTAGCCTTATGGTAACCATAAAGTTGCACAGCAACTTTTGATTGAGAGATGAGCAATCTTCGATCATCGGTTATCTCTTCTTCTTCTTCTTATTCTTCTTCTTCTTCTCCTCCTCCTCCTCCTCCTTCTTCTTCTTTTTCTTCTTTTTGCAACCAAATCGTAACCAACGATTCCGTTTAACGAACTCTTTGAATTAACTAGCAAGATACATCGAACAAATATCCATTAAAGGTTGTATGTAAATTGGAGATAAGATTCACCAACAACTTTACGACAAAAGAAAGAACGATAGTGATGTATAAGCAAAAGAGAAAGAAAACATTTCATCTCTTAAGGATGACGAAGCAATACGGGCAACAAGGAGATGTTCAGCTTGCTACTTTGAAGTCTTTGCATCGAGAAGCAAACACGTTTTCCAATTCCGACAGCGGCCAATCATAAACTTTGCGAAGTTCATTCGTGACACATACGGATGTTCATAATTCAACGAGCCGAGAAATGAAGTCCGATTTTGACACATGCTCGTGATCGATTGAGGCGAAGTACCACGTAGATTTAACTTTGCGATAACGGTTACATACGATGTTGCTTTGCAACATTCGAAGAGAAGTTACCCTTCGAGATTCCATCGACATTGTGAAACGAAACAAAAGAAGAAGAAGAAGAAGAAGAAAAAGAAACAAAGAAAAAGAAGAAGAAGAAGAAGAGAAAAGAAATTCATAGTTAGATCGATGGATCCTCTGTTTTTTCGACGAAGTGAAACTTTAATTGAATTAAATATATTTCTTATCTGAGGACAAATTATATTTCTATGAAATCATTCATAATATTTAATCCATTTACCGATTAGATCATCGTCTTGTAAATGAAATTTTTACGTCATACGAATTTATTTTATTTTACGTCATACGATAAATAATCCTCTTTACGAATAATCGCAAAGGATTTGAGGATGTCCGGCCGGTGTATTTCGCGAGTTTTCCAAAGAGCAAACGGTATACGATCTAATGTCACCGTTAAGATTGATCGTCGGTGCAACAGGGATAAGAACCTGTTTTCGATAATGTCGGAAGATACGTTTCTAGTCCGTCTATAGAGAAACAGAGAGAAAAAGAAAGAGGGAGAGAGAGAGAGAGAGAGAGAGAGAGAGAGGAAAGAGCAAGAACGAGAGAGGAAAGAGAAAAAAGATAACAAAAAGAAATGAGTAGAGGGAGTCACAACATTGGAACTCGCGTTACGCGTTGCCGGTATAAGCTTTTATAGGCTATTACTTCGGAGACTTTATTGCCACCCGCCAGTCAAAGCTTCAGGGCTATCTCCTCCACCTTTGTCATAGTCCTCTATACCGGTACAACCGATTGCCTGAATCATTGCGAACGTTATGCAGCCAAGAGAGAAAAGAGAGAGAGAGAGAGAGAGAGAGAGAGAAAGTATTAGCAATAAAGGAACTCATTGGAGTCACCCAAACGTAAGTCATATCTGTATGTAACCGAGAACTCAAAAACTATAACACGATGATGATTCTCTCATCAAAGTTTAAAATAACATTTGTCATTGGACAAAACTTTCGAATACGTTTACGATAATCGATAATCGAAATCAACTTTGGACAATAATTTCAAAGTTCAGCGGAGGTTTAACGTTAAAAGGTAGGAAGGAAAGGGAAAGAAAAAATTTATAAAAAGGAGAGAGAGAGAGAAAGAGATAGAGAGAGAGAGAGAGAGAAAGAGAGAGACTAGTGCATCGATATTAAATATTAATGAACAGTCACATCCATAATGAAACGTGGAACGATTTGTAAGTACGTAACTTGGATTTATCGAGGAAATGACGAGATACGCGAGTGAGTTAATCGTTTGTCAAGGAAATAAGAAGAAAAATAAAATGGGAAGATAGGACAAGGGGTAGGGGGAGGGAAAGAAACAAGAAAAGGAGGATAAAAAGCGGAAAAAAGTTTGAAGAAGAAAAGGAAAGAGAGAGAGAGGATGAAGAGGAGGAGGAGGAGGAAGGAGGAAGAGGAGGAGGAAGGAGGAGGAGGAGAAGGAGGAGAGAGGATAAGAGGTAGAAACACGAGATGGAAGGACAAGATCCAAGTTCCCAGGAAACCACGCTTACGTATAAACGGTTTGCTTGCATCGCGTTTATTTGCGAGGATCGAGGAATCTCTTTCTCCGGCACTTTCGCCCTCGAAATCGCGTGGATCCTTCGGCTCGATTAGCATTTTCGAAGTTCCACCTCTTGCCGCGAGCGAACCCCATAAATCGTCGAGCGTGACGATGATTCAAGTGGACGCGGATTCAGGGACATTCGCATAATTAATTAGATGCGGACGAAAGTGCACAAAGCCTCGAACGCCGAATGATTCATGCTTGCTTCTGCTTGAGTTTAAGCAGCAACGATGTCGTGGTTCGCGCACGATATATATATATATATATATATATATATATAGACGCGTACACTCACGTGAAAGCACACGAGCGCACAGATACACGCACACACACACACACACACACATATACATACATACATACATACATACATGTACACATAAGTACGCGCATGCGAAGAGAGAAAACCGACTGGTCCGGTGATTTTATCACGATATAAATTTTAAATCGTTCCGCGCTTCGAACAAAGTACTACACTTGCGTTATACTCTTCTTTGCGTTAGCCGCGCCTTTACTCAGCCTCAGGATTGGCCATTTTTGCACACTCGCTCGATCGTTTCGTTGAAGAAGAAATTGATCGACAAAGAAATCGATCGAAGGAAATTTAACGCTCTTCTTCCTCTCTCTCTCTCTCTCTCTCTCTCTCTCTCTCTCTCTCTCTCTCTCTCTGTCTATCTCTCTCTTCCTCTTTCTCTCTATTTATCTATCTGTCTATCTACCTATATATAAACATATATTGTTCTCTCTCGAATCTGATTAAATTTTACCTCGTCCGGATGATTATCCCCGCAGCGTGCGTCGCATCTGGCGACTCTGATCGAGTCGTACTCCTCGACATACTTTGTCCACGAGGCGAAACATCCTGGCAATAACAACCACCATGGCCACCACTCTGTGAAGGAACAAATGAAGAAAAAAAAGAAAAGAAAGGGATCTGTTGTGTCTATTCATAAAACAAAATATATTATATCACGATACATATATTTAACATATATTTATACGTATAACAAAGAGAGAGAGAGAGAGAGAGAGAGAGAGAGAGAGAGAAAGAGAGAGGGAGAAAGAGAGAGAGGGAGAGAGAGAAAGAAATAAAATAGATAAAGAAAGAATAGAAACACATGAAGAGGGACGGAAAATTTTCAATAAATCTCCGTAGTTCACATATATAGACGAGAGTAGTAACAGAAAGTAGTAACGTAAACGATTGTAGTATACTACGTTTATGGATTGAGATATGACCGAGTTACCATTTCACGCCTCATTAAAGGGATCTAATGGATCTCACACGCGCGCACGCGCGCGCGCTTATACACGCAAAAGAAAAAAACAGAAATAGAGAGAGAGAGAGAGAGAGAGAACAACCGGCTTAATCGTTCGTTTTATAGATATATACCAAATCGGAGAAATTAACGAATCCGTTAAAAAGCTAGTACTTTATGTATATGAGTGTTACACCTATATAATACGTGCAATGTTTCTGGAATTTCTGATACCTCAGTGAAAAATCCTTGAGGATAGGACGTAGAGGTACTTAACGTTTTAACATAAGGATTCCTAGAAAGAGAAACGCATCGGATGAATCTCATAATGGAAGAGACCTTTAATACCCGTTCTTTCTCTCTCTCTCTCTCTCTCTCTCTCTCTGTCTCTCTGTCTCTCTCTCTCTCTCTCTCTCTCTCTGTCTCTCTCTTTACTTCGAGAGCTAACCGATCCAAGAAGTTCTCTGGCTATCATTACGATCTTAACGTTTTACGTTAAAAGCGAAAAAGCAGGCGCGACCTTCTTATTCGTCGGACTCTCGATAGGAATTCCGAAGGAGGAGTAGTAGTCGAGAAGAAGACTTCCTTCGCTCTCTTCGGGAACTCAGGGACCACGGTATCTCGATCGCGATCGTCCGCATAAATCGTATTTTGCTAAATCGAAGAACAATCTTCTTCTCTTTGGATTCGAAGCGGGCTCTCTCTCTCTCTCTCTCTCTTTCTCTGTCTCTCTTTCTCTCTGTCCTTCCTTCTTTCTTTCCTTTTATCTATCTCTCTCCGTTTCGCGTACGAGCGCTTCTTTCACCGGCGTTCGAAAGTAAAAAAGACGAATTCCTAAACAAGTTAAGTGGCGATCGAAGGTACCCAAGTCGTGGTACCGGCTTACAAGCTGCTAAGCCTCTTCTTCGACGAAGCGCCATCGTGGAAGATGCAATAGGAATGTGGAAAACTTTACTATACTCTTTATTTCATTATCTATCCTATCTATATATCTATCTATCCATCTTCATATATATATATATCCTTCCATTTTCGTCCATTTAGAATTTTAAAATAACCACAATAGTTTTCAACATTGATAGTTTATCTTCTTCCTTTTTTTATTAACGAATGTCTATCCGTCGATCGTAGATTTTTCTCCTTAAAGGAAAAAGAAAGAAAAAAAAGAAAAAGAAAGAAAAAAAGTACGAAGGAAAAGAAAGAGAAAAGTACACTTCGAAGATTTCATTGAACATCGATCGGATCGACCCTTTTAGTCTTGACCTTGTCGAGCAACAAGTTACGATATTTCCATTCTATACGAACCCGAACAAATTCTCGAAATGGCACTGACCCGATCGTGATGCTGAATCTTTCTATTTAATTCTTCCTCATTCTCTCTTTCTTTCTTTCTTTTCCTTTTTTGTTTTTTTTTTTTTTTTTTTTTTTTTTTTTTATTCGATCGTGTCTCTATAAACTTTTTCACGATCGAACTTTTTTATTTCGTTTCTTTTTTTGTTTTAGCTTTTACCACCTCGTCGTCACGCCTTCGATACGACGAAACTTTCATTTGATTAATTTCACGTGGGAATATTGAAATGTCACGATTGCGATATGTTGTTTACATCGTTGTACGTTCACGTAATTAACAGTACCGATCGAGGGAACCAACCGAACGAACCTATGATCGTACGAACGTACAAATGATCGAACGAATGAACGAACGAACGAACGAACGATTAAAAATGTCTTCTTGAGAAAAAGCACACGCCTTACGATCGGTCCGACTTCTAAGATTTCATATGCGTTTGCGAGTATAAGAGAAATATGAAACTCTAATGCAGTCGAAACATCGAATTGTTTTGCATTGCCACACGTCGTAAAAGAGAAAGGGGATAAAGAAAGAAAAAGAAAGAGAGAGAGAGGGAGAGAGAGAAAGTGTGTGTGTGTGTATGTGTGTGTGTGTATGTGCGTGTGAGAGAGAAAGAGAGAAAAAGCTTTTGAAACTTTATTCCGTTTACCCGTAGAAATGACAAAGATAGATTGATCGATTGATCGATTAATCGATTGACCGATCGATCGATCGAAAAAAGTTTGATCTTCGATAAAAAAGATTTTTTTGAATTGAAATGAAAAAACGAGATCGATCGACGTTTCAGAAATAAGTTGGTTGTTTTTTTTTTCTCTTTTTTCTTTTTTTTTTTTTTTTTTTTTTCTTTTTTTTTTTACCCGTTTAATGTCAAGAAATATGCGCGAAGAACGTTAGAAAGTTTGAATAGATCATAGGGCAATCTTATATAGATGTTTAACTGCCGGTCGAGATGATGAGTACAACTTTTCTTTTACACCTTCCGTCTCGATCGTATCTGTCTGTATTAGCAATTCTTAATCAACCTAACTCGTATAATTTTCACTCGTATAAACGATGGTTACCCATTTTCCAATTCATCATTCTCGTTTTATTTATTTGAAATTTCATTCAACTTCCATATTTCTACATTTATTATTTACAAAAATATTTTTTTACGATTCAACAATATCTAGGATCAATTAACATTTGATAAATGATAATTCAAACGCGAAAGATATGACAACAAATTATATATATATATATATATATATATATATACATATATATATATATGTATATATATATGTGTATATATACATAAATGAGATCGTTAGAAATCTGTCCCTTATTATCCTGAACGATATTCGGCCGCTTTACAGGAAGGATTTTATCGAAAGCGATGACTCATATACCTGTTTTCTTAATGCCAGTTCGACTTTATTCACAAAACTAATCCCTGCGATACCTCGAGAGGAACGTTCTCTCGGTCCTGCTCGATCGACTGTTAAATCCTAAATCTTTTTTCGAGGGCACTCGCGAAGGTAATATATACTATGGTTGTCCTTGATCGACGATACGCGAGTTAGAATCCAAAAGTGTAATTTCTTTGTCCAACGGAGATAACTTGAATTATTCAAAGTTCTATGAGTTTCTTAAAGAAAAAGGAAAGAGGAAAGAGAGAGAGAGAGAGAGAGAGAGAGAGAGAAAAGGAAAAAAGAAAAAAGAAAAGAGAAGAGAAAAGATGCACAACGAATAAAAGATTCTCACTTCAAATCGAACGAATTACTCACACTTGTGTGACGTGGACGCAACACCCCCTCCCTCCCACACCACCCGTCTAAAAAAACAAAGGTTAAAATCATTCTGAAAAGAGAAAGAAAAAGAGAAAAGAACAAACGAGGTGAGAGACACGTGGTGGTGAGAGAATAAGGGGAACTCGGTAAAAATTAGGGCTGGAGCTTCGCTCGTATCTCCTACCCCTCGGTCTATAACATACGTACTTTTAAGGGTGGTGGTAGTAGGTGGTGGCCGCCAGCCGTTGCTGCCTTCGATGCTGCTAGAGCCCGAGTTGCGTTTGGACGTTGGCCTACCGGGTGGAAGCATCGAGCCGCTTGCCAAAGGGACCTTCGCCGTCAGCTGAAGTCTAATGAAGATGGTAGACGTCCTCGATATTAATTGTTGGACGTTCAAAAAATGATCCTTTTTATCACTGATAACGAGAACGACAATTGAAAACGAAGAAGAACGTTCTCCTCATAAACGAACATTTAAAGAGAGAAAACGAAACGCAGCGGTTACGATCGAGACGAGGCCGTTCGAACTGGGATCGAGCTTACTTTCCTGACCGGGCCGATCCTGCTGCTGCTATTGCTAGTGGTGGTGCTGGTGCTGCTGGTGCTGCTGCTGCTGTTGGTGCTGCTGCTGCTGCTGCTGCTGCTGGTGCTGCTGCTGCTGCTGGTGCTGCTGCTGCTGGTGCTGGTGCTGCTCTTGCCTGCCGCTTGCCTCCCCCAGCACTTCTCCTACTCTAACTCCGGCCCACACCATTCGTTTCCACCACCCTTCTACCACCCATCGCAATGACCGAATCATTAAGTTCAGGAAGGGTCCTACCTTCGTTAAGGAATCTTTGCGCTTTCTGATCTCTCGATTTCTTTCTTTATCCTATTCCCGACTTCATATCTTTCTTATTATACTTTTCATTTTATTCCTATATCTTCTATCAACGACAATTAGAGACAATTAGACTCTTTTTTTTTCTTTCTTTCTTTCTTTTTTCTCTTCCTTCCTCTTCTTCTTACCTTTCTCTTCCTTCCTTCCTTCCTTCCTTCCTTCCTTCCTTCTTCCCTCTTCTCCTTCTTTTTATTCTTTTCTTTCTTTTATTATTATTACATTAGATATACATTCACATTTCACGCTCCTTTTCGATCATCAGATAACATACATACACATTTATAACATACATATTATATCTAAACATCTTTTTATTAACACACGTAAACTTACGTAACTTTTTTACATCATTCCGAAGAGGAGGTGGGAGAGATGGCAGGAGGAGGAGGAGGAGGAAGTGGAGGAGAAGGAGGATAAGGAGAAGAAGGAAGAGAGACAATGATTCCGAGGTAATTTATTTCAACGAACCCATAGTCAACGGGTATTTCGAAAATGGTCAAGAGAAAAGGGCACAGGAGTAAGTTGAGCGATTTTTATCGACGGGGATCGTGGGGTCTCTTTGCAAAATTAACGAGAGAGAAAGGTTTTATCGTCGACGGTTTCGTGAATAGGTTTTCAGCGGTGAAGGAGAGGGAGAGGGAACGAGATGATGGTGGGAGAGAGAGAAAGAGAGAGAGAGAGAGAGAGAGAGAGAAAGAGAGAAAGAGAAAGAGAGAGAGAAAGAGAAAGAGAAAGAGAAAGAGAGAGAGAAAGAGAGAGAAGGACAGGGGGAGAGCCGAGGGTCTATCTTCGAGTTCTTGGCAAATCCTACCTCGAGCCTGCCGCACAGGTACTGCAACCTGTGTGGCATGAGAACGGGGCCTCTCTTCCCACATAATGAACGACTTCGAAGAACGGTAGTGGCATTGACCTGAATCTATTAGGGTTTTGGTTTGGCGGTATTATAACTGGCCGTGAATCAATCCCTTACATAGGAACGTTCCCTTCATGGCACAGACAAAAATTCAATCTGTTTTTCCAAAATTTTGAATCCATTTGAAAATGATGGTACTTCATAGGTTAAAGTTAATCGTAAATATTTCTTCTTCCATTTTTCAGGCAATCCTTACTCTCGTTCATAGTGTCTGCGATGATCCTTAATCGGTCGATCGTCTAAAGTTTGGAGAAAGTTCAATCATCGAGAGGATCCTTGCGATTCTTATGAAAGGCTCGAACTTCTTCTTCTTTTTATTTTTCTTTCTTTTTCTTCTCTTTCTCTCGAATACGAATAAATGAGATAGAGAGAGAGAGAAAGAGAGAGAGAGAGAGAGAGAGAGAGAGAAAGATTCGTGCCGAAATGTTAACATATTAGGATTGCGTGATTGAAAGAAGAAGAAAGAGAAAAAGCAAAAAAAGAAAATATTTAATAAAATAAAAGGAAAGAAAAGAAAAGAAAATATTATGAGGAACAATCTCTCACCACGTTCTTGTGCCTTCGGTTCCAAGCGACGTTGAACTTGACGTCATTAATTATCGTCTCGATTAGTGTATCGTACTTACTACCAGTAGAACCTTTGAAACGTGTTAGCTGAAAAAACGTATGTGTAACAGTGTGAATTATCGTGAAAGTTTAGCGTAGGTCTTAAATTAGACCAGGAGTATTGTATGTGTGTACTAAATATGTATCTAATGTGTCTTTATCCTACTAATCTAAATTATGCCATTACTAATACGATACCGTTTCGATATTAAGAACTATCTTTTATATAATTTACAAACCCATTTAACGTTCTCCTCTTGATCCATAGTAGTGGAGAAACCGTAAAAAATTTTAACCAATGGATCGTAATATTCGATACTGAAAAAATATCAAAGGGTCGTAAAGCAAAATGTTCATATTGCTGTAGTAATACGATATATTATTTTTCTATACCCTTGCGTGTTATATCATGATAGATGTCGAGGATCTAGCGATCACTTACTTGCTATACCTTTTATCAACGTTTTCGAGTTGTTCTATAAAGGCCATCGTTAGATTAAGTGCACTCGGATTATTGGCGATAGCCATAAGCGTAACCTCGACATATTGATTTTCATTATTCTTCGAATTTTTATTTTCGAGTGAAATCGACGACAAATACCTATAAACATCGTTCGACAACTACTTATATTTCAATCGAATATATAAAGTGCTTCTATTAGTTCGACATTTTTTATTTCTATATAGATCTATATAATATAATATAATATAATATAATATAATATAATATAATATAATATAGAAATGGCTTATATATCTTACCGTTCGATCGAAGTTATATTTAGAGTACAACCAAGAGCATAAGCGAGGCTATATTTATCGTTTTCTTTTGGTTCGTGATATTTGGCCAATAACTTCGACCATTGTTCTTCCGAAGAAAATTTAGCGTACGTACAATAGGCCCACAAACGAAATTCCCTCGTTAGATCGTCTCTAAGAAATAAAAATGAAAATTTTAATAATTTATTATTACGAATGGTTCTCAATTAATAATAATCGATAATTATAATTTACGTTATCGAGGTATCGTTTTGCAATAATTCATCTACAAAATTAAGAACGGATTTTATGCATGTTTTATGTCCCATCGAGCATGCCCATTTTGTCATTTCGAAATTAAATGAACTCCAGCTATCGATGTCGATCTCAAACAAATTTTTTATCTTCGAAATGTATACGTCCTCGACTAATTTGCATGTTACAAACTGAAACACATTTATTCCAACTGAGTAAAATTTTTTTTATGCCGATTCAAAGTCTACTCTATTTTGACTATTTTAATTGATAAAAAATAATCAAAAATAATTTGATAAAAAAAAAAGAAAAATAGAAAGACAGATGGATAGATAGATAGATAGATAGATAGATAGATAGATAGATTGATAGACAGATAGATAGAGAAGGAAAAGAACAAATCGAGTTAAAGATTCTTTCATGTCGTTTCTTTGAACGAGCGAAGGTATATAATCGAGGAGGTCGAGTAGGATTCGATTTATGTAAATAAATTCTCGTTCTCTCGATGGGTAGAAATGAGACAAAACGAAAAAAGAAAAAAAAAAAGGAAACAAACGAAATAAAAAAGAAAAAAAGAACGAAAAAGGAAAGAAGAAAAGAGAAGTCAAAAAAAAAAAACAAAAAAAAAAAAAAAAGAAAAGAAAAGAAAAAAGAAAGAAAGAAGAAAAAGGAAAGGAAGAAACGTAAACGATTTTTCGATTTTTTTTTTTCCAATGATAGTTTCTCCGAAAAGAAAACTGTTGCGTAGCAAAGTGGTTAATTAAGCGTTCTCGAAGGTTCGTATTTCGGTGCAAATAATGATTGAGTCTTTCAAGGGCTAATTGAACGTCGAATCGTAATGACAGGCGGCGGACGATGATCGCTTGTATTCCTGTCGAAGGGATAATCACTTGTTTTATGATGCTATACTTAAGACTTAACTGCACATAATAGGCGACATAACGCAGAACAACGTGGTAAACGATTTAAGCCTTTAAGCCTGTTATCGGCTATCTTGCATATCTTATCGTAGGTAGTAGCGGCATAAATTAATAATAAAATGAGAGAAAGAGAGAGGGGGAGAGAAAGACAGAGAGAGAGAGAGAGAGAGAGAGAAAACACGTTTGGCTCTTTTTCGTTCGGAAGAAAGAAAAAGAGAAAGAGAGAGAGAGAGACGGTGGAACGAGAGGTGGAGGATAGAGACGAGTAAAAGGCGTTCGTATAAACTTACTTGTTTTTTAAAGATATAAAGTAATAACAAGAGAGATTGAAATGACGTTCTCATATGGAGAGAGAAAAAAAAAAAGAAAAAGAAAAGAAAGAGAAACATCAAAAATAAACAAAGCTTTTTAGATGTTTCACATGAAAATATTTTGGCACATTGAAATTTCGTCAAAGTTGTTTAATAAAAGTACGATATTACGTGTAGATATTTTATCTCTTTATTTATTTCTTTTTCTTTTCTTTTATTCTTTTATTTCTTATTACTTTTTATTTTTCTTTTTTCTTTTTTTTTTTTTTTTTTAATCTTCCTCTTTAATAACAAAACGCGAACGAGAGTAGTAATTACCTCGAAAACTTGAGAATCCCATAGACGATATTCGATATATTTGAAGGCATCCTTAACTGACAACCACACTGTTTCCTCGGTATCAACGTTGAATTTAAGAAGAATCTTCCAGAGGAAAGCTTGATCGAGTAATCCTGCGTTGAACATAGCAAAGGCATCATTCAGGATCTGGAGCTTTGTCGTTTCGGGAAGGATATCGAATCGATTCGTTAAAAATCTCCAATTTTCTACATCGTAATTCACTCGGTACAATCCTGTTAAAAGATATATAAAAAGAGAATATTGAAATGTACGGGCTCGTTAACGTTAAATATCTTTTCTCTCTCTCTCTCTCTCTCTCTCCCTCTCTCTCTCTCTCACTCTTTTATTTTTTTTTTCTTTTTTTTTTCTTATTTCGTCCTTATACGAGATTATACTATACTACATTGTGACCTGTTTGGTTGATATTAAAGAGAATCCATTGATTATTGAAAATTGCTTCACTCAAGCCAGTATCATTAATCACCATGCGTCTTTCAAGCATCCATGCCTTCGGCAACGTCCCATCGAATCGCTGATCACTTTCGATTGTCCACGTTAAAGGGATGCACCATAATTCCTCGCTCGTACCACGAGGATTTAAAGCGTCCCTATAAAATCTCTCCTAAAAACAGCATCGATTCTTTATCGTTACATCGATCTTTACAAAATTTTCTATACTCGACGAATAGAAAAAGAGTAATGGTAATATTTTTTTTCTTTTTATATATATGTATATATATATATATATATGTTTTTTTTTATTGAGACCTGTGTTAGTTCGACAAGACCGGTGTCGTTATTTCTTAGGACGTGAACGACTGGAAATCCTGCATTATCGGTCCAATTTTTCATAATATTTCTCATGGAGAATTCCATATGTGACCTCGACTTTATTTCCTCTTGAAATATATCCCAAAGATCTTCCTGATTGGCGGCACCGTGACGATAAATATTTATGTATCTTTTGATCGATGAAAAAAAAATCGATTCGCCGAGAAAATGAAATATCATATTGACGAGACAATTGCCCTTTAGATATGCCCTTGAATCGTATATATCTCGAAGTGATTTTTTCATACTTAAATTGAGATACAACGGGTATGCCTTTTCCTTCGCTTCTCTCTCAAACATTTCACGATATTGCCCCGCCATAATATACTCCATACTCCAAGACGATTCGATCTGAAAGTTGTAACCGCAATGGAAATTAAAGGAAATGAAAGAAAAAAGATAGAAAGAAAGAAAGAAATAAATAAAAGGAATAAATAAAAAAGAAATAAAATAATAACGAAAATGATCGTTCTCACCATGCTCAAAGCCTTAATACCGAAGAAAGAAGAAAAGCCTTCTTTTAGCCATACATCGGACCACCATTTTGGCGTCACCAAATTACCGAACCATTGATGTGCCACCGCGTGCGATGCTATAATCGCGGATCTTAGCTTGCTATCAAGATGTTGCTTTTTATTTCGCACGAGTATGTTGTTTTCCCTGCAATCAGAACGTCTTATATTATTATTTGACGTGCCAAACTCGACGTATTCGTCCTCTTCTTTATTATTTTCAACGACCATGAAAATATCTTTTAACTTAAATAACTCTTTCGATCGTGACTGAGAACAAGTATTAACGAGTATAAGATTTTACAAACTTGTTGATAAATTATACTGGTCTTTACGAAAATTATATTGACAAAATCGACAATAGATAATATAAATGACTATTCTATTAAAAGAAAATCTTTGATAAACATTGAGAATTGTTTTTATATCGAGTAATTATTTCGATCATATTTCTTTTTTTTTTTTTTTGTTTTTTTTTTTTTTTAATTCAAAATTCAAGATGACGATTATCAATTTTTGATTCCATCGATTTTGTAACATCCTATAGATTATTCCTGTGTATATATATATATACACACATACGTGTATATATATATATACACACGCGTGTGCGTACGCGTACACACATACATCATATATACTGATGAATATACCGAAACGTAATGAGACCCCAATTTTCCATCGCCGAATATGCCAAACTTGGTACCGCTATCATGTCGAGCTTGTCCAAGTCGTAATGGAATCCCGTTAAATTTTGCATGAGCCTGACTATCCGAGGTATTAAATTTCCAATATACATGGTATCATTTTGCACGTCTTTTCTGGCGAACATATTATGAAATGGCCGATCGGTAACATTGATCTGATAACTTTGGAAGTCAGTCACCATGAAAGCTACCAGGTACGTCGACATTGGTAGGGTTTTATTGTAATGATCCCAAACATGACCTGATATATCGTGACTATGAAATCATAAGGATACGTATTACATATTAAATTTAATCAGTATCAATAACTATATATATATATATATATTTTTTTTTTGTTTAACAAACTTCCTATCTCTTTCTTTTTCTTTTTAAAAGAGAAAAAATTTCTTCCTTGGGATTTTAAGTTGATAAAGAATTACGGTAAATACATTAACGATTGAGTGCACACTTACTTTATCTCGGTGGCAATAAGTATTGAATTTGAATGAGTCCGCATGTCGATTTTTCGACTAATCGAGATTCGAAAAGGAGCCTTAATTGATGGCTCGTCGAAGCACGGAAAAGTTCTTCGAGCGAAATCAGGATAAAAATTCGATACGGCTATCCACCTGAAAATATATCGAGAAATCGACGAAAAAATTGTACGTCTTGCCATTTATTATCTTTCTTTTATTTTATTTTATTCCCTTTTTTTTTCTTATCTTAACTTCTTCTTCTTCTTCCAAGATATTAATTTTATTGTTTTTTTTTCTTTTAAGCTCTTTAAATAACTTGTCTTACTAACCTTGTAACATTAGATATCTTATTTTTATATTTGCTACGAAACAATCCAATTGGTTCTTCGTTCAAATCAGCAGTATATCTAATGCTTAGCATGTAACTTTGATTTTTGATCAAAAGTTGTAAGAGAAAAATATCGAGAAATTCATCGTCCGAAATTAACTTGTAATTCTCGATAATGTACGATTTGTTTGCGGGACGAATGTTCGTGATTTTGACGTTCTTTATATTTAATTTACGAGAATGAAGCCGTATGTGTTTTGTCGGATGTTTGCAATAAAGTTGAATCTTGACGTCACCGATGATACTAAAATTGTTCTCTGCCAATAACGGAATTATTCGCAATCTGTAGAAATAATCAATGGCTTAATGATTCCAGGTGTGACTTTTCCTCGATTTATATAGACATCTACATATATATTTTCTTCGTTTCGTTTTATCATATTTCTTCCATCATATATATATATATATATATATATATATATATTTAGCTATATAGACACACACACACACACACACACACACATACTTACGTATATTCTAATGGTATAACCTGACTAGGAAGTTGGAAGTGAGACTGTTTTTTCAAAGCAGAACGATACCCGTTCGAATCAAAATGCTTACTGTCATTGTGATTAACCAAAATCGAATTAATGAACCAATATATAATAAGAGAAGCGATCACTGTGGAAACTATTGCCATTAGAATAAATCGAATTTTTAAATGATAACATCTTCGCGGTTCCTCGTTTGTTATCTGCTGTCTTGCATAAGCTTGGAACGTAACTTCTGCGATATCTACAAAAGTTTTCAAATTATTCCAAAAAGATATTGGGACGAATTTTTATAAAGAGAAAAAAGACATGTAAAAGAGAGAGAGAGAGAGAGAGAGAGAGAGAGGGAGAGAGAAAAAAGAGAAGAAACTACCTGCTGGTCCCGTATGATTTGCCATAAGAAATCGTTGTCTTATAGATTCGTCTTTGAAAAATAAAGAAAAACAAAATCAGATTTCTAGTCTCAAGGATTATAACCAACGCAAGAGCAAACGACGACTGACCACTTCCGAAGTCAAGACGTCAAAGGTTTACGTCCAACCAGATGCTATGTCCAAAAATATCCGTACACTTGTAGACA